CAAAGCAAAACGAAATAACAAAAAGAAAACACAGATGCAGAGGAAGAAAACAATGTTTAAATTATAAAACAAATTCAAATCATAGCATGCAAAAATATCTCACAAAAGTCAAATTCAAATCAGACAAATCATGCAGACATGCAGGGGAAATGAAAGGACGCCACATGGCCAAGATAGATTCCAGAACTTTTCCTGGCTACCAGCAGCGTGCTAGGTCTGAGCCTTGGAGGCCACTCAAAATCTTAACTATTTTATACCATGGGATGAGAAATCCATGCACTCTTATCCAGGAGAACTGGGAATAGTCCCAGAGCCAAACACATTTCTAACTTGAGTATCTGAGTCCCGTTCTTGATTCTGTGACACTTGATTATTTCCAAAGATTTCAATGAATGCTGTGCCATCTCCATGGGGGGAGGGGAGTTATAGAAATCTGATGGGTGAATTTGTTTTTTACTTTTTTATTTTTTATTTATTTTTATTTTTTTGGAATTTGTTTTTTTAAGTGAGGTAAATTAGAATGTGTCAAGAGATCAACTGAGCAATACAATCACAATGCAGAAGATGTCAGATGTCAATCTCAGAGAAGAGGTTTTGTGAGTAAGAATCTGCTCCAGGCAAACTGTCCTGATATATCACAGCCTAGAGGAATAGGAGGCTGGGTCTGCTCCACCGTAACCCCAGAATTCTGCAGGATTTCCCTCTGCTAAGAAGCAGCTGCAGCCGCTCACTGAGCACGGTGGCTCAGCCTGTAATCCCGCGCCTTTGGGAGGCTGAGGTGAGTGGATTGCCTGAGCCCGCAGGTTCGAGACCCACCTGGGCAACTTGGCGAGACCTTATCCTACAATAAATAAAAAATCAGCTGGGCGTGGTAGTGCGCGCCTGTAATTCCGGCTACTCGGAAGGCTGAGGCGGAAGGATCTCCGGAGCCCAGCAGGTCGAGGCTGCGGTGGCCGGGAGCGGCCGCTGCACTCCAGTCTGGGCGACTGAGTGAGACTCCAACTCAAAAAAAAAAGAAGCAGCTGCAACGAAAATTCTGATTTATTCTGATATGGGCCCAGGGTAAATGGAATCTTGTCTGCTGGGTCCTTCTCCATTTCCCTAGCCTGGTTTGCACCTCGTCAGGCCCACAGATTGCAAAATGAGAGTCCAGACTGTACTCCATCTTGACACCAGCTTCTCATGTTTGCCAGGAAGATGATCAGCAACTAGAGAAGACAGTCAATGCTCCATTGCAGTGAACAGCTTTGGAAACAGGAGTCCAGCAGGCTACATGAGCTTTCCCACCGGTTTCCTGCAGAAATCTACGCTTCAGATTCCCCTTTACAACCCAATCGGTACTGAACTCAACACTGCAACCAGCCATGGCACTGTAGGGTTATCTCAACACCCTGTGATCATGGCTACTCATCCAGGAGCTCAACATTCTCACTTGCATCTTATGCTATAACATTTCAGTGAGTGGAGCAAAGAAGTCTAAAAAAAACCCCCAAAATACAAGAGCCTTTTAATCTTCTACAAGATGTTCATGGAGCCAAACTGACTAGGCTATTTCTGAGCAGTGGTAAAAAATGATCTTACCTTCCCCAAAGTCCAAGATCAATTTGTCTCTAGTCCAATTTAAGCTGGCTGCCCTAGGGAGGCCTCCCATCCATTCAAATGATGAAGAACTTGTTATTGGTGCTTAAGCTTTCAACTGGGGGGGGGGGCACCAACCTCAGCTCTAGAGATCCAGGTAATGGGTATCCCTGGTGTTTTCACGAAGAAAGTGTAATTAAATTTCTGTCAGGGTTCAAGAGATTTATCACCTGCCCGGCAAACAGAAACTCTTTTTGACTTCTGAAGGGGTTTTAGAACACTTTAATTACCTCAGCAGGGTAGGGAGGTGAGCCATTAAACTGAACAGCAAGTCCACAGTGCTAAAGGGACATTCTGTTAGCATATGCCAAAACGCTTTCCTGTCTGAGCTAGTTTCGTGTTCTAATCCAGAAACAGGATCAGAAACTTTATGTCTTGGAATATATTTCACTGACAGCTAGAATGTTTGCTCGAAACATCAGAGTGACATTTACCCCCTCAGATAGCGCCTTTCTCTTCCTCTTCACTTTCCTGTTTCTAACTTTCCTCTCACTGCAAAGAGGCCTGATTGATGATGACACCGTGTAGCGGGGCAGAGTTAGTTCTACTGCAGATGTGGGCGGTTTGGGCTTTTGCTATTTCTTTTTCAGAATTTTCTATGTGACTTACGCAATATCTGTGCTTTTTATGTGTAGAGCTACAAAGGGACTCCTACCGCTGAGGTGACACGAAAGTCTGAGTACTGACTGGAATGCTGAGGTGCTAACACATTTTAAAGCTCAACGTGCCAGTATTCACCACACAAGCAAATCTGCTGAAGCAAGATGATGATTTCAGGTTGTTTTTCTTAAAGTTTTCTGAAAAATAACTTCACAGCAGAATTATTTGGCCAAAACAGTCTGATGAGGAGATTGGAAAAACTATATATGCAACATGGGCAGAATTCCTGTATCCAAGTCCCAGGTATTAGTAAGAATGATACATTGCCAACACTCTCTTGGCCCTACTCAGTGCTGCAGTTTGGTCTTATAGAAACGTTGCTCTGGCCCCTGGGAAGGTCTTCCTCACAGCTTTTTTCTTTTCTGCTAAAATCTCACAAAACATTCTCTGCCCATCACATAGGTGACAACGTCTAAGAGCAATGGGTGAGCCTGAAGGTTTTGGAAAGGAAGGACAGACAGGCAACAGGAATAGGTATTCTCCGCTGATCTTTCATTTTAAATCCGTCGGGATCCTTTCCCTCACAACAATCTCAAGAGAGTAGTGTGATTACTTTAAAGAAGTTCTTGTTTGAAGTGTCAGAGAGAACAGGTAAGGTAGAAAATGACCTAAGTCCTATACAAGTCTCATTATGACTCCTTGCGTGGATGTCTCAGACCTACTCAGGCCTCCTGTTCCTGTGAGTTCTTCCTCTTGGGACTCAGACACTCCTGTGATGAACCACCGGAGCTCCAGGTGCATTGTCCAAAGTCTGGAGCTCTTGTTGCTCTGACATTTGACTTTGTCATACACCTTTTTGTTAGTGACAGTCTGTACTGGGATAAACATACTCAATGGCTTTTCCTCTGGCTTAGGTCACTGAAGCAGAGTTTTCTAAGGCATGCACTTCAGAAAACTAGTTATGTGAGATACCCTGTGGTCAAATAAGTCAGAGAAACATGTAGATACTACCCCTCTCTCAGAGATTCACAATGCAATCTGATTTTAAAGCTTCTGTAAAGTCTTTCAGTGAAGAAACATTTAATATTCAGTCATTTCGCAAGCAGATTTGACCAATAAATCCTTTGTGTATGAGTGTGTAAACTGATTGTGTTCTCATGAAATACACTTTGGAGCCAGGCTCGGTGGCTCAGGCTGTAATCCCACGCTTTGGGAGGCTGAGGTGAGTGGATTGCCTGAGCCCACAGTTCGAGGCCCACCTGGCAACTTGGCAAGACCTCATCTCTACAATAAATCAAAAAATTAGCCGAGCGTGGTAGCGTGCGCCTGAAGTTCCAGCTACTTGGAAGGCTAAGGCGGAAGGATCGCCAGAGCCCAGCAGGTCAAGGCTGCAGTGGCTGGGAGCGGCCACTGCACTCCAGTCTGGGTGACAGAGTGAGACTCTAACTCAAAAAAAAAAAAGAAATACACTTTGGGAACATTTTGAATTAAGGTTGTAGTTTTAGCCAGTATCTCCTGTAAGCATTATGATTATTAGGCTGTCATAGTGTGAAAGAACACCAGTAAAGGGCCTGAAAAGTGGCAATGCCAGGTGCATGTCAAAGAGCTTGAAAGTAGAGAATGAGGGTAATCTAACCAAAACATCAGATATATTTCTCAGTATGAAATTTATAGGTTCCAGCAGGAAAACAAAAATCATGAAAAAACAAATTAAGCAGATATTTACACTAATGCCAGAACTATTTAAAAAATAAAAATGGAAATTTGCCAAATAGTTACAATTAGATCTTTTGTTTTAGGTACTTTTCCTTAGAAATTATTCTGAATATATTATTAACAGACTTAGGAATCATGCAGTTAAAACAAAACAAACAGGTAAATAAAACACAAGTGCACAGCATAATTCTCATTCAGAATCTCTCGTCCAGTAAGAAGCTTCCTTTGAAGGCCTAGATGCTTCACACTTGGAGAATGTGTAGATATGAGAAAGAAATTACAACAGGAAAGGCTGAATCAACATGGCAGTCTGCCCAATCATCCTTGCACAATGAGCACGTCTTGATCACAGAGGGAAAACAAGTCACCATTTCTCTCCCTTTGTGCCCTTCTTGTCCACCGTGGTAGGAGGGCATAATCTAGGACATATATTAATGAGGCCCCTATTGTCAAGACTCTTGCAAAGGACAGTCTTTCTCTGTTCTCTGGAAACTTAGGACAAGCGTGTGTGTAACGAATGAACATGCTTACATTGTCTTAACACCGGGGAAACGGAGCGGGGTAAATTCTCCCTTCTATGCTCAATGAGCAAATGGTGGAGGCCAGCTGTCGGGTAAGGGGCTCAGTTATGTATTGTGAGAAACTCCCACTGTGGACCTCACTTTTGGGCAGAGAATCTTTCTTCCTTCTACTTCCCAGGACTCTTCATGAATACTTCCTTTTTAAAAGTATCAAAATGGTGTGGTGCATGATGGCAAGTGCCTTCAACTGTCTAAGGTTTGTGTCCTTCTTCCATCTATTCCAATATTGACTTTAAGTCAGGAGTAAAATGTTTCCTACTCTCTTACCCTTGATTTGTCCTGTTTGCTTCCTTTAAAAATCTCATCTTTCTCCAAAATTAATGACAGAAATGTCAAATGGCCATCATTCTTCACTTTGGTTACCCTGGACCAATTCAATCAAAGAACTATAAATATTTAGAAGTCCCAGATATTACTGAAGTGCATAAACATGACTCAAATATATACAAGAATGAAGAAGGGAGGGTCCTTCAAATGTTACAGTTTATTTCAGGTTCAGAAATACAGTTTCACATTTTCACAATAGGTACATGTGACCTTCAAGAATGATACAGGCTTTAGGAATTTGCCTCATAAAGTCCATTCACAGAGTCCATATATCAGCATTAAGAAATCCTGAACATGCCAAGAAAACCATGGAAAGTATTCTGGCTCACATTAATTAAGGAATCAACAGAGAAGACAAGATTTTGCTGTTGTATACTCCTTCTTCATTAAACAAAAAAAGAAGAAAAGAAAAAGAGAAATTTGACTCCAAAAAAGGGAGAGAAAGAAACAGACAAGCTAGCAAAACAAAACTGTGCATGTGATCCACGACACAGATCAAGTAATGGTGGTGGAAGCTCCTGGTCAGAGGGAGAGTTTTTTAACAAATTGGCAGCAGACAATGCAAGAGGTTAGATAGAGTAATTTTGTCACAATTTAAAAACATTACATAAAGAACAAACTTTAAAGAATCCAAGAGTGAAAACTGAAAAAAATGACTGCCTTGAGATGAGCCATGTGTGAAACCCTCAAGCAGAGAGGTGAGAGGTCTCGCCAGGATACCAGTATGAGTAAGTCTTCAGCCAACAGGAGATTCCCTCGAGTTTCCTCTCTCATGCCCTCACATACACACATTCTCTCATAGATATATGTATGAGTATACACATACACATACACAAATTGCAATGTGTATACTATGTATACCTCAAAAATATTCTCAAAGTTTCAACACAGAGCACCACATAATTTTAAGCATACCAACTAGACAGGATGAATGAGATTATCTAGAAGACACATTTGAGTTTTTTGGGGGTTTTTTGTTTTTTTTTTTAAGAGAGGAATGAGTGATCTGGTAAACGAACAACTGTTTGTCCAAAATCATCTAGCTTCATCCACTTTAAACTCTGAGCTCACAGCTAGTCGTCTTCTAGGTTAAATGACACAAAACTCATGGCTTTAGTTGCACACGCTATCTTACCTCATTGAGTTCAAGAGTTCAGAGACCTACTATCAAGGTTTTATTCTTCATTCTAAGGACATTCTTGTCACTTTCACATAATTATACTATTTGCCAAATGGAAAATGTTTACTTAAAAAAGCTGATGACCTGCCTTCAAGGTACTAAATAACTAATTTACTCCGAAAAATCCACTGCTGCTATTATATTGCCGTATCCCTCTATTTTGTTCACATTTGCCATGTTAAAAAAAAATGACTATGTAGATCAACTCAGCTTTCTAAAATTCAGCTCACTTAGCAATCCAAAAATAACATAATTTGAACTAGAGATCATAAAAGTAAGTCTCTAGATCTTTCACTTTTGAAACAATACTGTCAAAGAAGATTCCCTCTTAAATAGCAGTGCTGCGGATTTACATACAAATGTTTTTGGACATTACCATATGAGCTTTGTGCCTCTCAGAATGACCACAATCTGGAGTTAGAAAATTTTGTATACCTCATGTATGTTATGAGACAGGAATCACTGTTATCACATGTTATAGTAGATTATCCAAAGCTCTCTCTTGTATCAGCACACTTTAAAAAATATATTGATACTCCACATATACTACGCACATGTATACATAGGCATTTACACCCAAACATATACATATATATATACAATGCACATACACTCACACTCATGCTTGTGGCATGTTAACAAGTGCTTTTAAATCTACCTACTCAAAAGGACACAAAATATATGCACCTACAGAAACAAGTTTACTATGTATATACTGTATACACAGAGACACATGCATAGAAAATGTGTTGTACATAGAAAACATCAACATTTATCACATACTGGTATTAGGTCCCATTTCATATTTGAGAATTATGGCTACCATCTATACTAAAAGGTCACCAAATTAATCTACGTGACTACTTTTTAATACTAAGTTCAGAAGGCTTACAGTTATATCACAGGAACTGGTTTCATTATAACATTTTGGGATAGAATGAGTTTGTATCTGAACAAATAGGAAACTTGATAATAAACAGAACCTACTGCTCTTCTAGGTTATAGAACATAGCTAAAAGCAATATTCAGAAGAGTAACCTTGATTGATGATTTTTAGAAATGCAGTATACCTGTTCTAAAGCAATACTATTTCAATAATCCATCATTGAGTAAATGTTATTCCAATTAGCCAATATGCATGCAAGATTTAGCATGTGACAATAAACAGATTTACCTATCAAATAAACATATATAGTTTATTTTTCCAAATCCTAAAAATACTGCATTTTAAAATTATGATAGCGCTACATCTATTGTGTTGACAACATCAGAGCAATCAGTTAAGAGGAAGTTACACAAAAGATTAGAAGTGGTATGGGAAAAGTCAGAAAGCTCATGAAGCCACATTCCCATCTGAAGGCCTGATGCACACGCTGCACCTCACACCCTAGAACTTCAGACTTCATTCACACTGGCGTCTCCTTGTAGTAGGATACAAAACCTTTGGGAAGTGGGACTCACACTAGTAACATACCTAGTACTGCAGCAAACTGAAAATATTCTCCAATGTGACTGCTGAAATTCCATGATAGGCTGGGTCCTATTAAAGATAACTTAGGAGGAAAAAATAAAAATGTACCCACAAAGGGAGATGACTGGGACAGTGCAACTGTGAGACTACAATCTGAAAGCAAAAGGCAAAGATGACAAATGCCACTGTTTATCACCGCCTAAGATCTGTAGAAAGAAACTTGGGAAAAACCCTCCAATATTACTGACATGGTTTGTGCTGACCTAAGAACACACCAGTGGTTATCTACAATATTTTCTTTTAACAGAAGGAAATTTTTGAAATACAGCAAAATGTGAAACCACATTTAGCACAAAGCCAAACTCTGAAGTATATAATCCATTAGCTGCCGATTTTAGAGAATTCGAAGGAAGAAGCAAAGGGAATCCTAAAAAGAGGACATTCTATGAAATATTTCACTGCGAATTTTTGTTTTACTATGGATATTTAAAGGTTTTCCATTTAGCTATTTTTAAAATACAGTATATATCCAGCACATTGGTTCCATTCACAGAGTTACATTTTTTTTCCCAATGAAAAGAAGATAAAAGAGGACTTAGGATGGTGATTAAAATAAAAAAAAAAACACAATTATTTATAACTTTAAAAGTTGAAGTGCCATTTTTGTAAATCTTGTATTCTCTGACTTTTGGAGGGAGGCTAGCTGTAAGCCTTTAGAGTAAGTTCAACACAATGTCATGCAACAAGGCAAGTTCTCTTTTTAATAATGGTTAAATGCTTTTACTTGATACTTTATGGGTGTCTGCTCTGGGTATAAACGACACAGGAAATTAAAGTTAAGTTAACATACAAATCATGTATGCTACTTTCAAAGGGAGACCTTTCCACTGGTGAAACCTGATTTACTTCTGTAGAATATGAAATGGTGTCATGGGACACCCCTGCTCAGTGGATCCTAGCTCTGCTATCTGGGAACAGTTAGCAGACAAAATTCCAGTTGGCTTCTGGTTGTTTCCTACATGTGAATCATCTGGTCCTAGACAGTCCAAATATTTTCCTCAAGACTGAACTACTAACTTCTGGGCTAAACTGCTCTGATAAATTCTGTTTTAGACCCCAATGTTTCAATACCATCTTCTGGAGTGAGCCGACAGGGCCTCTGAAGCAGTACAACTGTCAAGGTGTAAGCTCTGTCCTCACCACGGCATCCTCTGTGGGCTTTTCATTTCAGGTACCATGCTTTAAATGAAATTATCCCAGAATAAGTCTCAAGATTTACTAAGAAAGCCTAGAATGGACAAGAAGTTACATTAAGCCTGTTTTAAAGATAGGATAAATTCATATACAAGGAACTTACAAATTAGCATGGAAAGAAATTTTTTTTCACCAAAATAATAATTAAAAAACTGGAGTCAGTATCAAAGTGCAGTTAGCTATGCCAAAAACGAGGTCAGTTAGAAAAATTAAACATTTTCCATGTAAGTCTTCCAAGTAACCTACCAGAAGGTGAATATATAAGTAAATTAAAAAATTATATTTTCCGGACACTTCTAGAGGTGTGATATTTTGCTTCTTCCTTGAACTCTGAAACTAACTACTCAAACTTATGAACCTATTAACAAAAGCTTTGATTCATTATTGCATATGCTTCTAGCATGAAGCAAATCACGATGGCATGAGGAGAAGCTCTCTAGAGCAAACAATGCAGACTTTTCCTTTGCAGACTACCTTGTGCTTCTGGAAAAGTTTTATTCTTAAGGAATCCTAATTTTTTTTTTAAAGCACTTCCTAGCAGTCTTATGAAACAAACAGGAAGGAAAGAGGAGCTAAATATGTAATTCTGGGGTAGGTGGTAGCATTAATAACAGACAACAGAATTACTGTCATCCTAAACAGAACATGGGAAAAGAAGTAAGTATGGCTTAGGTCTAAGCCCACTAGCTCATACCTGTTAAGAATTGAATTTAGTGAGCTACCTGATAGATAGCCTGGAAAACTTGTCCAAAGTAATCTCAAATATATGCCAGGGTAGGCAAATGGTCTCCGAATCAGAGCTGCTATGCAAACCTCCTTCAGTCAGTATGACATAAAGCCTCCATGCATCAGTAATTTTCAAGAGTCAAACCCCAAAGGTTTGCCATACCTTGAGCAATGAAGATAAGTGATGACTGCATTAGTAAAACTGGTTACTTGCCTACTGATGTCCACACATGCGACTACTCATGGTTTACTGCAACGGTTATCAAATATGTTGCGTTCACGTAATTCATTAGTGGTTAATAGCCATGCCAGACACTTCATTTAGTCTAACAGGGAGGATTCTAGTGGACGGATTATAGTGGGACGAGTTGGTGATGGGGGTGGTCTCCGGCTAGAAAGAGAGAAAGAGAAAGGTAAAGAAACAAGTAGAATATCTGGAGAACGCAGTTCCAAGGACACAGATCAACAGCCATCACATATGCCCAGGTACACGCAGGTGGCAGGTGTGGCTGCCACCTGCAACTGTGTCCACATTGTCACCTTCCACTTATCCCACAGTGTTTAATGAAATTAGGTATTGCTTTCATATGCAGATCTTTCTTGAAACTGAAGTCATCCCTACCAACATTAATAAAAATATGGAAGTATGTGACAGCCATCTGAAACCCAGTATCTCAGCCAATTTAGTATAGTTCTTTTTTTTTTTGAGTTGGAATCTCACTCTGTCACCCAGACTGGAGTGCAGTGGCCACTCCCAGCCACCGCAGCCTCAACCTGCTGGGCTCCGGCGATCCTTCTGCCTCAGCCTTCCAAGTAGCTGGAACTATAGGCGCACACTACCACGCCCGGCTCATTTTGATTTATTGTAGAGATGAGGTCTCGCCAAGTTGCCTGGACGGGTCTCAAACCTGCGAGCTCAGGCAATCCACTCACCTCAGTCTCCAAAGGTGCAGGATTACAGACTGAGTCACCGAGCCCGGCCAGTACAGTTCTTATGCAGAATGAATTAGCTGTGTTATGCCTATTCCAGGAACTAATAAGGTATATTAAGTCTTAGACAATGATATTTTTGCATTTTTTCCTCTTTATATAATTTTTTTCCTCCTTGCATTTAGCAGTAGCCTTCTCCAATTTTTCTACATTTGACTTCTAATGTGTGGAGCCCTAGAAAATCAGAAATCCAAAGCTTTTTGAGTTCTCTGCAGTAAGTGCAAATAGGCTCAGTGTGAGTGCCTAAGTAAACTGCACAAGTCCTAGTTCCTATTTTTGGTCCTAAAGATTACGTATTAGTAATAGTAGTATTGCTCACTTCCTAGTTGGTCATGTTTCTGATAGCTGAGTTCAATGAATAAACATTGTTCAGATTATACAATATTGCTGTACTTGACAGTCTCAACATTACTAAGTAATATTATTGATTCCCTGAGTGCCTACCTTTATTTTCTAAATGCATTAGTAAGTTTTTGTGTGTGTGTGTATGTGTACTCGACTTCATATGTAGTACCTTACGTAGTTATCTTATACACACTCAAATTTGACAAGTTCTACAAATTGAAGTCTTTCTTTTTATAAAACTCTCCAGCTGATATTTTCAGGACTCCTTCTGGAATTATGGTTATGTCATGGAATTGTCTTCTGAATTGGAGACACTAAATTATCAAATTAAATTTCCTTCCTTAGGTATCAAGAAGCTAGCAATATTGAAAGCAATTAATGTTAAAAAAATTACAAAGTTATAAAATAAAATTAGATTATCAAGAAAAAAATAAAAGCAGAAGAGATATTGTTGATTAATGATGAAAATACTGACCACTTAGGCACAAACTCATAGACATTAGCAAAGTTCCTTTTTCCCCTCCGCACCTGAAAAATGCCTAAGAGGCTTTGGAGGAAAGCTCTCCTTCAAAGGTGCATCCCAACTGAATGCATGCACTAGCCTCATTACTAAGCAGATACTCCATTTTAAAAGGGCAACTATAGCTATTTAGAGACAAAGTAACAAAACTAAATCAACCAATACTAGTTTAATTTGAGTAAACAAATTATTTTCCTGCAGAAAAGCTATGGTGACCACCTGAAATATTTTGATGATTCTCCACTGGGAACAATTCTCCCATAATTTTCTTTTTATTTATGATCATGCAAAAACACCTGTCTTTTTACTAGTAATCTAGAAAATGGCCATATTACTTATATCTTGTATCTTAAACCTGAATAATTTTCTCCTTTAATGGGTTTCTGGAGGCCACCAGTCACACCACCAGACTTATTCCACAGTGTTTTGCATGGTGTCACATGCAGTTATGTCCTCAATATTCTTTAGTTCACCTTCTGGAGCTGCCATTCATTCTTCAAGGCTCACCTTGGGGAAGCTTTCTCTGACCTCCCTTCCTCCATCCTGGTACAGTCGAATCTATAGCATCCCAACATATCTCTGTTACTAGCCATACAGTGAATTCTAATTAGATTTGTGTTTACTTTCACTGCTTGTCATTTAGTCACCATATGTTTGACAACTGAATAAATGGAAGTTCCTTCTAGAAGCAAGAAACAACTGATAAATGCCTGTGATAGTCATTGGTTTCATAAATATATCATGATCAAAGCAAAAACATAGCTAAAGTGACCAGGATTGAGACCCTTGGAGACTCTACCTGTAAAGTATTTGACTGCTTAAATATTTAGTAGGTACTTGGAGGAAATATCAAATGACAGGTCCCCAGGGAGTCTGACAAATAGTCATGTAACCTGTGGAAATGTATTCTCAGCAATCAACCATTTATAGTTGGAGGGGGAGGGAGCTGGCCAGAAGTTGGACTTTAAGAAGGGTCTAACAGAGGGTTCACTCATGTAACTAATTATGGGACTTATCTGAAAAAAGTGGATCTTAGACTACAAGTTCAGTGAGAAGCAGGATACAGCATGTCATGGTAGACTGGAAATCGTCTTACACATATGACATAGCTTGGACCAAGGCTTGTAGTCAAGAGAGGTAGGAACGCAAGCGGAATTCTCTTCTGCTTCTTTGTTCTTGACCTCAGTGTCATTCCTCAGTCCTTCCTGATCATCCTATAGTCTCCCTCTCCTTCATCCATCACTTCATGTTGTGCATTTCATAACACTTAATCTTGTTTGTGATTATGTATTTATTTACTAATTGCATAACTGGGTGGTAAATGATGGAGAGAATAAAAAATAACACTTCCACCACATCCCCTCAAAATAAGTATGACATCTTTGAAATATGCCTAGTTTCAGCTAAAGGAACCCATATATGTACTTACTTAGTAATTAAAGATTCTAAAGAGCTCCCCACTAAACCTCGTGGAGGAAATGTGCATTGTCTCGTTTCTAAATCAAACAACAAAAATCTGTATATAAAACTCTACTAGAAAGTAATTCCAGGGGGACATTAAGTTGTTTTGTGAACTTTCTTCATGAGCAATGCTAAGATGTTGCCAGCTTCAATACCAGAAACATTCAAGGTTTGCTGTTGAAGTTCATCTCATTGGTCTTCTTCCTAACCATACAAAGCATTCTTCCTAACCATACAAAGCACTTCCAAAGACATTCGCCTCACAAGACTGTTTTGGGCAAAGCAAAGTTACTTGTTTTGTACCAACTTTTCCTCAGATACCCTGAGGTGGGCTTCATTAAGTAATGTGTTATACTGAAACCAAGTATCTTGTGTTACTTAGTGTTTATTGAAACACTGTATTTTATGTGGCAGTTTATGGTTATGATGTAAGAGTCATGTTTCTGCTTCCAAATCAAAGGGAGAGATGTAATATTTAAGTTGTATTTGCAGCTGCAGGGATGGACCATTTATCGTTTTGTACAATGACAAATTTTGTAAGCAAGTCAGATGCTCATGCAGGGTATGTGGCATTTGGGGGAGAAACTGGCATCACTGATAAGAGAGAAGCAAGCATCACTTGTTTTGTTTCATTTTATGGTCATATGAGAATAGGAGGATGAAAGTTTCATCTGCTCTCTTTTGGGTGAGCTGGTCTTGAGTGTTCATGACATGTGGGCAATCTTAACAGGGGTCAGGAGAGGCTTCGACACAGCCAACTTCTGTGGTGGGGCCGCAAGCGTGGTGGGTGTGGAAACTGCCTTTCCTCTGGCTTGTTGCTTACAGGTAGCATAACACCGATTTCTCAGATGGCTTGGTCCTTCCCCCTCTCGCCTTTATTTCTCCTTAGAATGGGAAGTGGGAATTCTTTGACCAGGCAAGTGTGAGACAGACTGGGCCTGTGCAGCTCTGACTCCTTCCTTTCTGTGTTTACACCCAGATCTCAAGACTCCCAGTCAAGAATTCTTTCTGCTGGGCAGTTACATTGACAGGCAATAGTTTTCAAACTGGACCTTTCCTCAAAATCCCCTGGAGGGCTTATTAAAACCCAGGTTGCTGGGTGTCACCCGGAGTGTCTATGGGGTGGGACGTCATGTCCCAGATGATGCCGATGCCGCTGGTCCTGGGACTGTGCTTTGAGAACTACTGTCCTAAAGCATAATATGTGTTTTTTGCCTTGTTTCATCAGCATTCAATTCGTTTGCCAGATAGAGTAAAACAAAAAGAATAAGTTCTAGAAAAATCTTAAGAAGAATGAAGAAATTGGTCAAAGCAGATTTACCTTATGTTTTAAAGACCAAGATACTGTACTATAGTAGCTTTCTTGTTAGTCATTACCAGCAGAATATCTTGCTTAGGGAAGCGTATTTGCTTACGAAAATGGTGTAGAAGGTAAGCATCACTAAATGTGCATTCCAATCCTCAACTTTAGAGAGGGTATGATTGAAGTCTAACCTAATTTGTTAGTGGTCCCAAATTAAAAAAGAAAGCTTTCACAAAAGATACACAAAGGTGACAAGTTTAGAAGAGAAATCTGCCCGAAAGGGTAGTTATTTGCATACAAAGGATATGCAATAGGCTTCTACTTATTAAATATAATTGAAGTTTTAAAACATAACTGTCCCAAAAATTCAATGTGCATACAATTACATCAAGGATCATGGGAGTATTATACATCCCAGGTTTCTTTCTTTTTTTTTTTTTTTTGAGTTGGAGTCTCACTCTGTCTTGGTGTTTTTGTTTTTTGTTTTTGAGTTGGAGTCTCACTGTTGCCCAGACTGGAGTGCAGTGGCCGCTCCTGGCCACCGCAGCCTCGACCTGCTGGGATCCGGCGATCCTTCCGCTTCAGCCTTCCAAGTAGCTGGAACTACAGGCGTGCACTACCACACCCGGCTAATTTTTTGATTTATTGTAGAGATGATGTCTTGCCAAGTAGCTGGAACTGCAGGTGTGTGCTACCATGCCCGTCTAATTTTTTGACTTATTGTAGAGATGAGGTCTCGCCAAGTTACCCAGGCAGGTCTCGAACCCGCGGG